GACAGGACAGACAGACAGACAGACAGACAGACAGACAGACAGACAGACAGACAGACAGACAGACATACACATATATATATATATATGCATACATACATACCAGAGAGGAGAGGCTTGGGGGGATGGGGAGGATGGGGAGCAGAGGGAGGGAGAGAGGACGACAGAACACACAAGGGAGACAAGGGAGAGAGGCAGAAGGAGAAAAGGGAGAGGACAATGTCGGCGGACTGAGCCGGAGGCTGTAAAGTATATATATATATATATGTGTGTACAATATACATATATATATATACAACATGAAGAAACAAATATATATATATATATATATATACAAAATATGTATGTATATATATATATAAGTGGCCTTGCTGGGAGGGTCATAACCCTTTTACAACCAAACCAAGGCGGGACTGAAGTCTGCAGTTGAACATGGGGTCAGGTACCCACAATTCAGAGGCCCCATTTCTTCAGGGCCGCGACTCCAGATACCCTGATACATGGCACAGCGCCAGTCAGGATGCAACAAACACCTATGAATATTAGGACACTGGAGCAGGAGACTGTCCATCCAGTGGGCTTGGGCTTGTACCATGCGCACCCGCCCGTGGCGCCTGAAACTCCACATCCTTCACCTGCGTGGTCGCTGCCACGGGCAGAAAGAGTCGCAGCTCCTAGCGCGAGAAATTTGACGCCGCGAAGGATCGCTAAGGCACTAAGGCGATGACACTCCCACGCGAAAACGGAGCAAAGGATGTCCGCAGCTACTTATGGTTGGGATTGTCCCTAACCTTCATCTACCCGGGTTTTTGATTGTGGCTCAATTGTTGTGCACTGCCGAAGCTGTTGATTTGGGCAGAGGATGCCGATGCACAGTCCAATAGTTGGCCTCCAGTTGAACACGGCAAAATTGGAAGAGGACGGTTTCGCGGTTGGATCTGGTGCTTTCAATTCGGCTGTGAGATTCTGCGAACGCTGCCCCCAAAAGGCATGAAAACCAAAAGGGGCCCTGGAAGACCATCATCCTTCACAGCGACCCACGTTCAGGTTACACATTTGTTTTGGGAGGGCATGCGTTTGCTTTGGGTTGCACAAGCCAGGGAGCAATCTTGCGGAGAGTTTGTCGGCGCAAAGAACCGCCCTAAAGGTTCTTTGTTGCATGAACCTTGCCAATTTGGCGCCCCTGTCTTGTTTTTGAGGCGAAGATGCAAGACATTACCATTGTTTTAGCTTTGGGCAAGTCTGTTTAAGAGGCAACCCCAAACATGCGACAGCCAAACTTAAAAAGACGACTGCTTCTTTGCAGGGAAGGCCTCTCCCATGCTTGTTCTGAAGATTGTGCACCTAAACATAACACTTTCACATCCTTTTGCCAGCGGCAAAGGTGTTCTGGGGCCAGCAGGTCCTTGAGCGAATCCCATGTTCTCCCTGACGTCTTAATGACTCCCCGACGCCCAGGCCACATCAAAACTCAAGTTGTCCAGAAAGCTCGCAGGTCACATCAAAGTGGTCTTCCTCCAATATGTCGTCTTGCAGCAACCTTGACAAATGGTATTCTTCTCACAAATGGCTGTGTTTCTGTCACCTGAACAAACAAAAAAGCTTTGCTGATTTTGGGCCACCATTGCTTCCACCCTGAGCTCCTCTTATGTTCAACCAAGATCCCTGGCTTCGTAATGTGCCCAAAAGCATCCGCTCCTGGTCCGCGGCGTCGCCCTGCTCCCAGCGATATGCGCGGCCGCCTCTGGCCCGCCGCGCGCCGCGCGGGCGCGGCCGCGGCCGCGCCCCGGGCCGCCAGCGTGGCCACGCCCCGCGCTGCGCCAGGCGCGGGGCGCGGAGCCGTGGGAGGCGGAGGGCCCAAGGAGCCCAAGGAGCCCAGGGAGGCCAAGGCCGACCATGGCGCGAGCATCAGACGGACCTTCGCACCCCAAATTCGAAACCTGTGTCGACAAACTTCGGCTCCAAGTCTTTAAGACTTGTGAAGAGCCCCAGGTGCCATTTCATGTCAGGATCGCTCCACAGGGGAGTGGGGCCTGTGCTCTCTAAGCCGTTGCATTGAAACACTGTGGGGCCAAATCCGCAAAGCCCTAGCAAAGCTCTCCAAACAACTGCCCTTGCCACAACATCGCAAATTCCGGCAAGCAAGGCGAAAAACAATTATATAACATGATGCTATGGACTTGGGGAACCTTCGTGGATCCCGCGCACTCGAGAGACAAGCCTTACAACTGCGAGCCATGCATCGATGGCCCATCGCCCGGCCTGAGTTGAGTGAAGCACCGTAGGATTTTGATTGTTTGGACCCTCACGTTGACCACACAATTCCAAGCCAACCCGCTAACCCAAATAAAGGCGGCTTAAGCCCCTGGGTCTAGGACTGAAGCCGCATGCGCAATGAAACAATGGTAGATGGACGCACTCTTAAAACACCGCTGCTGACCATGCTTTCCAGATTTCTTTGCTTCGATCTACGCAACATGCAATGTAAGGCGCCGGGATGAGCCAACCGTTCATCCCACCAACTGTTGCTCTCTCTTAGAACCCTCTTGGCAACTTCCAAAGAGTAAAGCTGCACAGCTTGGATGTTGGGGACTGACCACTTCGGAGGCGCAAAGGGTCAGTCCCATGTGATTCAGCATGAAGGGGACACCCCCTTACAGAAAATTCAATGGACTGTCGAACTGGCTACCGGATGAAAGTGGCTGTCATCATACTTGGAAGCCAAAGTCGGAGAATCGAACTTGTTGTCTGGGTCCATTTAAGTGACACCCTCAAAATGTCCCTCCACATGGTGGTTCAAGGGGCACCCCCCCCGTCCCCAAACGGTTCACCTTTGGGCTCTCAAAACAAACGAGAAACCCTCCAAAAGTGGTTCCTTGTGGCTTCCCTCTTACCCCAAAACGGGCACCTTCAACAACAACACACCCAGCACACGCACACTCACACCTCTGGAACCTCAGTTCCTTCGGCCAGTCAGATCGTGCCTCCAGAGATACTTGGAGCGCACCTTGATGGTGTCAAGGCTCACCTTGGGGCACAACATAGGCTTCCCACCCCCCCAAAACCATTATTACGTGTTATATATATATATATACATATGTGTTATTAGTCAAAGGAAGTTTAACAAGAAACTTCCGTAGTACTGGAACTAAATGAGCTAGCTGCTTTGACATATAGCTATGACAGGTAGCTAGCATGACAAATAGATAGCTTTGACATATAGCTAGCTTGACAGATAGATAGCTTTCCAATAGGCTTGCATGACAGATAGATAGCTTTGACATATAGCCAGCTTAACACGTAGATAGCTTTCTCAAGTATAGATTTCGTGGCAGGCGCAGCACTTTCGCAAGCACTCTCTGCGAGCTGGGGGATGGCAAGATGCAGAAAACGTTGGCGCTGTGCGTGAATTGGGCTTCCGGACTGTGCGCAAACCACCTCGGCTGCGACGCCTGTACGGAGGCGGTCTCGGATCTCGGAACGGTCTCGGAACGGGTTCGGAACGGTCTCGGAGACGGGCCCATTGGCACGGCCGCGAAAGGTTTCAGCAATAGGTTTGAAAATTGCTGGCAGGCGCACACTTTCGCAGTCAAGTATAGATTGCGTGGCAGGCGCAGCCTTTTCTTACTTCTGGCACTAGATTTCGTGGCAGGCGCAGCAACTTCGCAAGACTCTCTTGCAGCCTGGGGATGGCAAGATGGCAGAAAACACTTTCGCAAGCACTCTCTTCGAGCTGGGGGATGGCAAGATGCAGAAAACGTTGGCGCTGTGCGTGAATTGGGCTTCCGGACTGTGCGCAAACCACCTCGGCTGCGACGCCTGTACGGAGGCGGTCTCGGAACGTTCTCGGAACGGGTTCGGAACGGTCTCGGAGACGGGCCCATTGGCACGGCCGCGCGAAGGTTTCGCAAGGTTTGAATTGCGTGGCAGGCGCAGCACTTTCGCAAGGTCAAGTGTAGATTTCGTGGCAGGCGCAGCACTTTCCCAAGGTCAAGTGTAGATTTCGTGGCAGGCGCAGCACTTTCGCAAGGTCAAGTATAGATTTCGTGGCAGGCGCAGCACTTTCGCAAGCACTCTCTGCGAGCTGGGGGATTGCAAGATGCAGAAAACGTTGGCGCTGTGCGTGAATTGGGCTTCCGGACTGTGCGCAAACCACCTCGGCTGCGACGCCTGTACGGAGGCGGTCTCGGAACGGTCTCGGAACGGGTTCGGAACGGGTTCGGAACGGTCTCGGAGACGGGCCCATTGGCACGGCCGCGCGAAGGTTTCGCAAGGTTTGAATTGCGTGGCAGGCGCAGCACTTTCGCAACGTCAAGTATAGATTTCGTGGCAGGCGCAGCACTTTCGCAAGGTCAAGTATAGATTTCGTGGCAGGCGCAGCACTTTCGCAAGGTGCTGCGTCCACTCTCTGCGAGCTGGGGGATGGCAAGATGCAGAAAACGTTGGCGCTGTGCGTGAATTGGGCTTCCGGACTGTGCGCAAACCACCTCGGCTGCGACGCCTGTACGGAGGCGGTCTCGGAACGGTCTCGGAACGGTTCGGAACGGGTTCGGAACGGGTTCGGAGACGGGCCCATTGGCACGGCCGCGCGAAGGTTTCGCAAGGTTTGAATTGCGTGGCAGGCGCAGCACTTTCGCAAGGTCAAGTATAGATTTCGTGGCAGGCGCAGCACTTTCGCAAGGTCAAGTATCGATTTCGTGGCAGGCGCAGCACTTTCGCAAGGTCAAGTATCGATTTCGTGGCAGGCGCAGCACTTTCGCAAGGTCAAGTGCCAAATTCGTGGCAGGCGCAGCACTTTCGCAAGGTCAAGTACAAAATTCGTGGCAGGCGCATCACTTTCGCAAGGTCAAGTACAGAATTTGTGGCAGGTGCAGCACTTTCGCAAGGTCAAGTGCAAAATTCGTGGCACGCGCAGCACTTTCGCAAGGTCAAGTACAGATTTTGTGGCAGGCGCAGCACTTTAGCAAGGTCAAGCACACATTTGGTGGCAGGCGCAGCATTTTTGCAAGGTCAACTTTCGCAGCCGGGGCTCGAAAATCGCAACTTTTAAGTACGAAAGTAGTACGCGAAGTCAACTTTCGCAGCTGGGGCTTGAAAATCGCAACTTTTAAGTACGAAAGTAGTGCGCAAAGTCCACTTTCGCAGCCGGGGCTTGAAAATCGTAACTTTTAAGTACGAAAGTAGTACGCGAAGTCAACTTTCGGGGATTGAACATCGCAACTTTTAAGTGCAGAGAAAGATGGACTGATAGATAGATCAATAAACAGATATAGAGATAGCTAGAGAAATAGATTGCGTGGCAGGCGCAGCACTTTCGCAAGGTCAAGTATAGATTTCGTGGCAGGCGCAGCACTTTCGCAAGGTCAAGTATCGATTTCGTGGCAGGCGCAGCACTTTCGCAAGGTCAAGTGCCAAATTCGTGGCAGGCGCAGCACTTTCGCAAGGTCAAGTACAAAATTCGTGGCAGGCGCATCACTTTCGCAAGGTCAAGTACAGAATTTGTGGCAGGTGCAGCACTTTCGCAAGGTCAAGTGCAAAATTCGTGGCACGCGCAGCACTTTCGCAAGGTCAAGTACAGATTTTGTGGCAGGCGCAGCACTTTAGCAAGGTCAAGCACAGATTTGGTGGCAGGCGCAGCATTTTTGCAAGGTCAACTTTCGCAGCCGGGGCTCGAAAATCGCAACTTTTAAGTACGAAAGTAGTACGCGAAGTCAACTTTCGCAGCTGGGGCTTGAAAATCGCAACTTTTAAGTACGAAAGTAGTGCGCAAAGTCCACTTTCGCAGCCGGGGCTTGAAAATCGCAACTTTTAAGTACGAAAGTAGTGCGCAAAGTCCACTTTCGCAGCCGGGGCTTGAAAATCGCAACTTTTAAGTACGAAAGTAGTACGCAAAGTCCACTTTCGCAGCTGGGGCTCGAAAATCGCGACTTTTTAGTACGAAAGTAGTACGCGAAGTCCACTTTCGTAGCTGGGGCTCGAAAATCGCAACTTTTAACTACGAAAGTAGTACGTGAAGTCCAGTTTCGCAGCTGGGGCTCGAAAATCGCAACTTTTAAGTACGAAAGTAGTACGCGAAGTCAACTTTCGGGGATTGAACATCGCAACTTTTAAGTGCAGAGAAAGATGGGTAGATAGATAGATCAATAAACAGATATAGAGATAGCTAGAGAGATAGATAGAAAGAGAGAGAAAGAGACAGAGAAACAGAAAGAGAAAGAGAAAGAGAAACAGAGAAAGAGAGAAAGAGAGAAAGAGAGAAAAAGACAGAGAGAGAGAGAAGCAAGGGGCCAAGGACAGTTCTCCAAACTATAGTTGTTCACTGCTTTGAAACTTCCGCCCCCCGGCTCTGCCGGACCTTACTTGTATTATTACTTTGTTTGGGGGGGCTGAATTATTTTTATGGAATGAGGATGTGTATACTCTCTCTGCCTCTCTGCCGTTGCGTCCAGAGGGTCTGTGTACTATTAGTATCTAGTACTATTTTGTTTGGGGGGGGTGATGAATTGTTATGGAATGAGGGTTGGTGCACAAGGCAAATGAATTGTAAGCCATGATCACGATCATGGGAAACAAAGTCAGTAAGAAGTCAGCGCCGTGCATTCTCCTCCCTGGCAGGAAAGTCACAAATAAGAAATAAGAAATAAGGGCTTGTCCGCCCACCTGCTACCGACACAATCTGACACATTCAGATTTGCGCAAGGGGCGAGATCATTAGACCCCAAGCTCAAGCAATACCTAGAGGAAAACCATATTGAATCGAGGCCCTGGCAAAAACGGAGGAGCTCTCGCTGGGCTCGGTCACCTCAAAGTGCCGGCTGCATCAGTTGAAGTCCCGCACGCGGCAAGAGACGGCATGGGGCTGGAGAGCCACCGAAAAGATACAGAGCCCAACAGTCACCTCCAACTGCCAAGACCCACCCTGAACGCGCAAAGGCTTAGCAAGGCTCAAAGGGGTCAGGGGCGACTGCTCTGAGCTTCATGAAGGAAGGAATCCTGTGTTTGCTGGTTGCTGGTACTTCGGGCGCCTACCAAAAAATGCGTGAGCGCGGAATCCGCTTCTAAATGGATGGGACTTTGCTGACCTCCGCTCCTCAGGTTTTGCTTCAGGCTGGCGCATGTGTATATATATATATCTACACACATACATATAAACATACAGTAATACAGGTCCACTCGCTCTTGCATTCACCAACCCATGCCCAGGTGTTGTTTGCCGCTCCCAGGCTCCCAGCTCAGGAGCTCACGCGAAGGAAGCAGGAAGGAAAAACCCTGCTGACGGGCAAAGATGTGCCGTCTCCAAAAGGTCCTTCACTTTTCGGGGAAACATCCTCATCCGAATGTGTCAGCCGGGGTCCGCCACACTTGGCTAGCCTTAAGCCCTGCCGAAAAACAAAACTTGTTGCAACCTAGGAAACATGCAAAAGGGGGAGTCAAGTTTGGGCACGATTTTGTATGAACTTTGACTTCATTTCGGGGATGTATGCCCGACCATTTTCCAGGGTGTTCCCCATTGAACTTCACGGTTTTAGTGGTAAATAAGAAGTTTGGACATTTCTTGGCCAATCTACTCCAGAAGTGAGTTTAGCGTTGGTACCAAGCGTTGGCCGAAGTGAGAGGGAGGCCAACCCGCCTGACCCGCCTGACCGATTTCGTACCATCCACCGAAGCGGCCGCCTTTTTCTCCAGCCTTAGCGGCTCCAAGCGCAAGCCTCGCGTCGTCAAGTCTCGCGGCCCTCGAAGTCTGCGAAGTCGTCGTCCTGAGACGACTCGCGGGGGGAAGACCCACTCGGGTGGAGTGGAGCCTCTTTTTTGGAGGTTTGGGGGGATGGCTTCCCATGAGCCCTCGACAAGAACGAGGGGTTCAAAAAAAAGAAAACCATCTTTAAAAATGGGTCCATGACCCTGCTATTTTGGCTAATGTCCCCATTTTTTAGGGTCATGGAGACTCCAGGCAATCCAAACCACCAACGACGACACCTTACGGAAGCAAGGGCCTGACAAAACCCGGCGCCGGTCCCAACACTTCGATGAGTACGAGGCCTTGAGGCAAGCCATATGGCCTAGGGGCTGGCTTTGGAATTAAATTCGCATGGACTGGCGAGAGATGGAGTGGAATGCATGGCTGAAAAAGCCAATGTCCGCACCTACAGGAACCTCAGGATGAAAGGACTTCTGTGGCCTCGAGCATGCAAGTGGACCCAGTACCCCCAGTGAACATCCCAATCCCTACTAACATAGACTAAAATGGGTGGTGCACCTACCATTGCTGTTGACCCACGGCCAAATGAGTCCGAACAGCAAACAACCTTTAGGACCTGTGTAGGGCAGTGGGTTTCTCCTGTTACGATTTCGGGTAAGCAGGTTGACCTCAGGGAAGCAGGTTGACCTCCATGATTACAAGTGGAACAACCATTAAGCTCTAGACAGACCTTAAACCCACCCCAAACGGACCCCGCTAACCCTAACCAGAAACCAAGCCCAAAACGACCCTAAACCAATCCTGAATCAACCCAAGCTTCACCCTAAACCACACTAAGCCAGCCACGAACCCTAAACTCGCCCTAAACCAGAACCCACCCTGAGTGGACCAACACCCTGAACCCACCTCAAATGCACCCCAAACCCACCCTAATCCCACCGTAAACCAACCTTGAAGTTGAAACCCTGAACCCACCCAAGACAGACACTGAACCAACCCTGCCAACCTAAACCTACTAAGCCACCCGAAACCAGCCCAATCATCCTACATCCCTGTGGCACGAAGCAGAGCAAGAAAAACATGCAAGTTCAGGCGCAAGTGAGGACGTTAGCAAAAACACGCCCTTTAACAACACCTCGCTGAAACAAATATACTACACCAGACTTCACTTGACTAAACTACACCAAACAACACTACGGCATCAAAACTAGACAAGCCACACACCTGAACACACAAATGCAAAACAAACATAATGAAACACACACACACACAGACAAACACACATTAAGTCAAGCCTAATCACACACCAAGCGCAGCGCAACACAACAACACGATGGAACATAAATACACATACCCATACAAACTCACATACATACACCGCAGCACGTGTAACACCACGACATTAACAGAACACGTGCAACCAAAGGTGCCTCGGGCGGCGCCACCCCCGACAAGCGCTGCTGCACTTCTTGGAGAATTGCCCTGGCCGGAATGGGGGAGGAAGTGGGGTGAGTCCAATGCGCTACACTTCGAGGGGGGGGCCTGTGGCTGGAGTTCGTGGGATTGTCAGTGGTGCTGAACCGTCGGAGCCAGGTTGCAGGAAATGATGCTACGAAGCACAACTACTAGATTTCGCAAAAAATGAAATAGGACCTTCCCAAGAAATCTTCACCTTTTTTGTCGGCTTACCCTAAGCTCGCCCTAATTTGCGCAGACTTCTAGGGGATGCCGGTAGTTCCCCCAAAGGGATCGAGAGGCAAACCCTGGAACTGCCAAAGTAAAAGGCCGCTGACCCAGGCTATTGACCAAAAGTGGTTCCAAGGCCTGAAGTCTCTTCGGCGCGTCAGCTGCAGTCCCACAAAAGGGCTGGATCACTATAAGATCATCATGGCTGGAAGTATCCCCAGCGGAACCCTCCAGGAGCCTGCCGCAAAACTACCTCACAACACACGATTGGGCCCCAGAACTGTCGCTGAGAAAAACATTGGCAGCTGTCAACACCAAACTTGGTTGCTGTTGACCCCCCTGCAACAAAAAGTTTAACTTCTTGGGGGGTTTAGTGGAGCACACCTTTCTTTTCCAAAAAGTTTAAGTCTAAAGATACAACCCAATAGCAGTCAAGCATGACAGTTTGCTGATGGCAGAACTCCCTTCCAGCCCACCACGAGGATATTTGGGCGCTCGAATGAAAGGCCGTCGACGCAAGATAAAGTGTCTAGACTCCGAGGCGAGGTACCAGAGCACACCCCCTACTAGAAATTCAGGCGGCTCACTGTGATAGTTTTGTGTGTGTTTTTTTAACCTTCGAAGCATTTCTTCCGGAGCACAATGCTGTGTTGGCAGACCCTAAGCCCCAAAACAACCAACCCGTACCGGCTCGACAACCCTCGTGTCCCTCTGGTACGGCCATGTGCAAACTACTCTAGTTCACCAACTGGATTTCTGGAATCCCCAAGGAACGATTATCACGGGTAAGCTTGCTGTGCTCGTTTGGGCTTGTGCTGGTTGTGTACCCAGTATGTCTTGGGTTGAGTCTAGTGTCTCGAGGCATTATTTCACCCGACCAAGGTGACAGGAACCTGCGTAAGAGTTTGCGTCTGCCTGAATGTTGACCTTTCAAGTAAACCCACCAAAACTGTGAAAATCTGGGATTCCGCTGAGTAAGTGAGTTTGGGTTGGACGATTTGTGCGCAAAGAGCTTCTTTTGGTGGAAATAGGCTTGTGGCGGAAAGGGGATAGGGCCTTGGCGGCTCCAGTAGCCTGAGAAAGTCGATGGCGGGCATTAAGAGAGGAACCAAGCAGGTAGGCGGTCAAGCCGAAAAACCAACAGGCACGCCCAAGTCTCCCCATCGCACCTGAAAGCCTCAACGCTCTTGTCTTGCAGGTGGATGCCTTACGGGTCGGTGTGGGGCCAAAAAACCATGGGCAAGGCCGACTAGGTCCTCCAGTAGAGAGGTTAGAATAAGGGTACCAACTTTTTCTGTAGTATCTGTACAAAACCAGGCCCACAACGAACTTGCTCTTCGCTCATGGTGTGCTCTTGAGGTATCAGCGCCAGTTGCGTTTGAATGCGTAAGCATGCTTATGTGTGTGTGTGCATGAGGTCAGGCATAGACCCCCTACCACAAGTTTACCTCTGGCTGGTTCAATTGAAAAGGAAATTGGAGGTGAAACCAAACAGCAAAAAGATAAAGAGCCAGCCTAGTCTGGCAATGTGTATGGGTGTGTGGGCCTGCCGGTGCTTGTGGCAAGTATACGACTTCCCTACGGTAAGCATATGAGGACAACTGCCGCCTCAAAGGGCTTCCCCAACTCCACGTTTGAGCAGGTTGATAAACTCCCAGCCGGAAGTCGGAAGCAGCAAACGGACACCAATGAAAGGAGCCTTCCTCGATGTCATGAGGCCTTTTTGTTCGCAAGCCGAGCCCTTTGCGCAAACGGATAAAATATGTTTCTTCTCAGGCCTAGGTGTTTTGCCAACAACCAAACACATGTGTTCGCTGGCTGACAGAGAGCAAGAAGCAACAAATCCAAGTCGAACTGCCTTTCACGCCAAGCTCAGTCTGGCGAGGCTTTTTACGTCTCACTGTGGCAGAACAAAGCAACTCCCATAGGTGTGCTGTTAGGGGGCAACCATCTGTGTTTCTACCGAAACAACAAAAAACACATGGCAACTCCCCCGCGGCAAGCACCGATGGCAAGGCGCCCAGTAGCAGAGGCTTTGAAGTCCTTCGCCCGCGACGAAACAACGGCCGGAGCCAGCACGCTACGATCCGGCGGTCCGGGCGAAGCCCTTTGCCAGGTGACCCCAAAGGTCAAAAAAGAACCTGTTTTCTTGGTTGCTGTTGACCCTTGACTTCCCAAAAAGTCAAAGTCTGAAGATCCAACCCAATAGCAGTCAAGTTTTGGAGTCGACCATCTTTAGGAAAGCCATCAAAAAAATGGGATTTGGCAGGCGCCCCAGCTCAAAAAAAAAGCCATGCTCAGTTGGCTTGAACGGTCAACCAGCGTTTTGAGAACCTCTCCAGGAAACAGAAAGGGCCCAAAAACGGCGCCTGCTATCCGACCTTTATGTGAGGAGCGGACGAAACACTGTACTTGGCCCTAGTACTTTTTTGAACGTTATCGTTTTTGGGGGAGACCTTATCGCTTTACAGTGTTTTCGAACTTTGGCAGATCCGGCTCGAAAATCAAACTTTGTAGTACAAGTCTAGTACGAGAAGTACACTTCCGCATCTCCAGAACGAAAATCGCAACTTTGTAGTACAAGTCTAGTACGCGAAGTACACTTCCGCAGCTCCAGCTCGAAAATGGCAACTTTGTAGTGCAAGTCTAGTGCGCGAAGTACACTTCCGCATCTCCAGCTCGAAAATCGCAACTTTGTAGTACAAGTCTAGTACGCGAAGTACACTTCCGCAGCTCCAGACCGAGCTCCAGCTCGAAAATCGCAATTTTGTAGTACAAGTCTAGTACGCGAAGTACACTTCCGCAGCTCCAGCTCGAAAATCGCAACTTTGTAGTACAAGTCTAGTACGCAAAGTACACTTCCCCAGCTCCAGCTCGAAAAAATCGCAACTTTGTAGTACAAGTCTGGTACAAGAAGTACACTTCCGCAGCTCCAGCTCGAAAGTCGCAACTTTGTAGTACAAGTCTAGTACGCAAAGTACACTTCCCCAGCTCCAGCTCGAAAATCGCAACTTTGTAGCACAAGTCTAGTACAAGAAGTACACTTCCGCAGCTCCAGCTCGAAAGTCGGAACTTTGTCGCGAAGTACACTTCCGCAGCTCCAGCTCGAAAATCGCAACTTTGTAGTACAAGTCTAGTACGGGAAGTACGCTTCCACAGCGCTCCAGCTCGAAAATCGCATCTTTTGTAGTACAAGTCCAGAAGTACACTTCCGCAGCTCCAGCTCGAAAATCGAAACTTTGTAGCACAAGTCTAGTACGCGAAGTACACTTCCGCAGCTCCAGCTCGAAAATCGCAACTTTGTAGTACAAGTCTAGTACGCGAAGTACACTTCCGCATCTCCAGCTCGAAAATCGCAACTTTGTAGTACAAGTCTAGTAGGCGAAGTACACTTCCGCAGCTCCAGACCGAGCTCCAGCTCGAAAATCGCAATTTTGTAGTACAAGTCTAGTACGCGAAGTACACTTCGGCAGCTCCAGCTCGAAAATCGCAACTTTGTAGTGCAATCCTAGTACGCGAAGTACACTTCCCGCAGCTCCAGCTCGAAAATCGCAATTTTGTAGTACAAGTCTAGTACAAGAAGTACACTTCCACAGCGCTCCAGCTCGAAAATCGCAACTTTGTAGTACAAGTCTAGTACGCAAAGAACACTTCCGCAGCTCCAGCTCGAAAATCGCAACTTTGTAGTACAAGTCTAGTACGGGAAGTACGCTTCCGCATCTCCAGCTCGAAAATCGCAACTTTTGTAGTACAGGTCCAGAAGTACACTTCCGCAGCTCCAGCTCGAAAGTCGAAACTTTGTAGCACAAGTCTAGTACGCGAAGTACACTTCCGCAGCTCCAGCTCGAAAATCGCAACTTTGTAGTGCAATCCTAGTACGCGAAGTACACTTCCGCATCTCCAGCTCGAAAATCGAAACTTTGTCGTACAAGTCTAGTACGCGAAGTACACTTCCGCATCTCCAGCTCGAAAACCGAAACTTTGTAGTACAAGTCTAGTACGCGAAGTACACTTCCGCATCTCCAGCTCGAAAACCGAAACTTTGTAGCACAAGTCTAGTACGAGAAGTACACTTCCGCATCTCCAGCTCGAAAACCGAAACTTTGTAGTACAAGTCTAGTACGCGAAGTACACTTCCGCAGCTCCAGACCGAAAATCTCAACTTTGTAGTACAAGTCTAGTACGCGAAGTACACTTCCGCATCTCCAGCTCGAAAATCGCAACTTTGTAGTGCAAGTCTAGTACGCGAAGTACACTTCCGCAGCTCCAGCTCGAAAATCGCAACTTTGTAGTGCAAGTCTAGTACGCGAAGTACACTTCCGCATCTCCAGCTCGAAAATCGCAACTTTGTAGTACAAGTATAGTACGGGAAGTACACTTCCACAGCGCTCCAGCTCGAAAATCGCAACTTTGTAGTACAAGTCTAGTACGCGAAGTACACTTCCGCAGCTCCAGCTCGAAAATCGAAACTTTGTAGCACAAGTCTAGTACGCGAAGTACACTTCCGCAGCTCCAGCTCGAAAATCGCAACTTTGTAGTACAAGTCTAGTACGCGAAGCACACTTCCGCAGCTCCAGCTCGAAAATCACAACTTTGTAGTACAAGTCTAGTACGCGAAGTACACTTCTGCATCTCCAGATCGAAAATCGCAACTTTGTAGTACAAGTCTAGTACGCGAAGTACACTTCTGCAGCTCCAGACCGAAAATCGCAACTTTGTAGTACAAGTCTAGTACGCGAAGTACACTTCCGCAGCTCCAGACCGAAAATCGCAACTTTGTAGTACAAGTCTAGTACGGGAAGTTCACTTCCGCAGCTCCAGACCGAAAAGTACAAGTCTAGTACGCGAAGTACACTTCCGCAGCTCCAGCTCGAAAATAGAAACTGTGTAGTGCAATCCCAGTACGCGAAGTACAATTCCGCATCTCGAAAATCGCAAGTTGGTAGTGCAAGTAAAGAACGCGAAGTACACTTCCGCAGCTCCAGCTCGAAAATCGCCAACTTTGTAGTACAAGTCTAGTACAAGAAGTACACTTCCGCAGCTCCAGCTCGAAAGTCGCAACTTTGTAATACAAGTCTAGTAAGCGAAGTACACTTCCGCATCTCCAGCTCGAAAATCGCAACTTTGTAGTACAAGTCTAGTACGAGAAGTACACTTCCGCATCTCCAGCTCGAAAATCGTAACTTTGTCGTGCAAGTCTAGTACGCGAAGTACACTTCCGCAGCTCCAGCTCGAAAATCGCAACTTCTCAGTACAAGTGTCGTATTTACGAAGCATGGCAGCTCCAGCTCGAAAGTGGCGACTCGCCTTCTCGTTTTACGGTGGCCACGCAAGGGTCCCACCCTAGCTAAGTTGCAACTGCAGGGGTTATTATAGAGCCGTGTGTTAGCTAAGGGTTATCGTTTTTGGGGGGGACCTTATCGTTTTCCATGGTTTTGGCATGTGCTATGCAAAAACGTACCCCGTTTTGATAAAGTGGTCTTTGTGTGCTTTGTCCGTGGCTCATGTCATGTTTCCAGCAGTTTGCATCCAAGGACATGTGAACAACAGACAATGCGACTTGGTTCCCTCCCGCGCTGCCTCGCACGGAACGCAAAGAGAACCATCATGTTTAGAGGAATCTCTCTTCGGGGAATTCTCGTTTTCGTTCCATGTTGATTTGAGGGCAGTACTGGCTTATCGTTTGCAACTTGCCCTCGTTTTGCAGGAAATCGGGTAGCGCTGTGCTTCCCAAACGGTTACCACTTATAAGTCGTATGGTGTATTGCTCGTGTAAGGGGGCGCTCTCAAACATGTTGTCCCCGTCCTCATTTAAAGTCGATTGTTCTGGACCTCGCATGCTCACACTTTTTGCCAACTAGTACGGAAACAGATCATGCTTTCTTTGCGCGACCTGATGCAAAGAAGGGGTCGCGCGCTTGCATTGTTTAGGACAAAAAATGGACCAATGAGAAGGCCTCCACAAAGGAGCCGTCTTCTGCACGCCAGACAATTCTTGGCCTTGAGGGTTTTCTTTGGTTCCGCTTCGCAAAAACGTACATTTGGGCCTTGACTTTCTTCACTATTATGTCAAAAGCTATGCGCTAAGAGGGTAACAAGAAAAAACTTTGGACAACCAAGTTCAAGCATGATTCACATGAAGATTTAAGTCCACTGATCACCTTCTGTAGATGTTCCAAGCAGTTGATTCCACAGCCATTAAAAAGCAACTTCGGATCAATCTCCCACTCACTTAGCAGGTTTCGAGTAACCCAAGTTGACACTCTTTACAGGTTCCTTCCATTTGCTTAAGCCCACTGGAAAAAATAAAAATACTTCCAGTCGTAATAGGTTCCCTTTAAAACCAACAGGGGAAAATAAAGAATATTAAGCAAATGGAAAGTCCTGGTCCGCTGCAAGGCCACGCAATGTTCTAGGGGTTGATCCCTTGTCCATTCTTTTCAGACATCGTTCTTTTCAAAAACCGGATCCGTTTCCCCAGGGTCTGTGGTGGTGTTCTAGAAAGAAGGATCCCTGGAAAGAATGGGGAAGTTACCCCTAGCAATGTTAGGACTTGTGGCACAAGGAGCTCAAGTACATTTGCAAAGGGACCGGAAAGGTATTGCTTCCATCGACAACTCCGACCTGCTTTGTGGAAGAAACCCCGGCCGTATAGGCAGCCTTGGTTTTTCTCCAAAATGCATTACGTCTTAAAGGATTGCTGAAACCTCCTGATTTTAACGAATGGGATCGGGTATGTGTCAAAATAAGGGGGCCCAACAAAATTGTGGCTTTTTGCTTGGTTTCCCTTTACACCGGGGTGCACCCTCAAAGAACCGCCAACCTCCAAAAGCCTCCCGCCGAGGCTCTTCTCTGCCAGCCGCTCGATGATGGCGCGCGCCAGGGCGCGGTAGTGCTCCTGGCGCCGGTCTCCGAACAGCACCTGGCGCGCGCGGCGCGCGGCGCCTGGGATTTTCGGATGGACCTGGTGGCTGCAACGACCCCCCCTGCAAAAAGCTGGTTGTTGTCGTTTTTCACTTTTGGGGTGGTTTAGTACGGAAAGCACCGCAATATTTCAACCAAAAAGCTGAATTTCGAAAGATCCGTTGCCCAATAGCAGTCAAGAGGATTGGGATTGGTGGCTTCCCATCCCGAGAAAACCACCCAAGGCGTCGAACTTCCTGAAGCCATCCGAGCCCAAGGGCTCTGTTCCCCTCTCATTTTGGGTTATGATCACGGCTTAAGTTGGTCAACAAGATCTAGAAAAAAAACATGGCTGGGTTATCCTTATGATCATGGCTTAAGTTGCTAGAAAAAATGCATGGCTGCGGTGTTCAATCCACAGCTCGTGATTTGGGTCCTCATAGTGCCCGGCGGCGGCGGCGGATCGGGCCAAAAGCAGAAGAGACACTCCCATGGAAAACGCGGATGGAAGGGAGACAAATCCGTGGATCCAGTCAATTCAAGCGGGCTCATTCCCAGATTCGACTTGCCAAATGTCCAAACCGGACCTGGAAATGCAAGGTGAAAACCTTCTGGGGTGTCAATTAAAAGTCATTTTTTGCCCAAAAGGGCACACCAAAAGCTTAAAAGGACCCCAAAACGCCCTGGACACCAAAAGGCTGGTCTGGAGCTTCCGGCAAAAAAATTGGCCAAGTTCAGCATGCTGGTGGCTGTCAGGCGCCCAGCGAGTGACCACCACCTACTTACAGCAAAACACGGGACTATCTGAAGAGTCGGTTTCATATGTTTCGCCTACCCCAACATATGACATATAACACAAGAAGGGGGGTACACGGAAAGTACCTTGCTTCTCTAGGGACTGAGTTTTCTGGCCCATTGTTTGCGACCATCGTTCTTTTCCAAAGCCGGATCCGTTTCCAACCTGGGATTTTGGTGGTTTCCTCCCTGGAATGAATGGGGAAGGTACCCCTAGAAACAAAGCCCGTTCACAGATTCCAAGAACAAGGCAACACGACCAAGCCGCCCCCCAAAAACTCATGAGCGATTCAAGCCTGAGATTCAATCAGGTGTCTCACCAAGATGGGTTCCCAACCTGAGATACACCACCTACCAGCTGCAGGAGTCTGTCCACAGGGGCTTAGAACTATCAGGTAATTCTTCTCTTCTCACGCCGTCAGCCTTCCAGACCGTGGAATTCTCCCTGCAACGAAAATGGCACCTTTGTTTTTTGGTAATTGGTTTTAAAGCGATCGCGGGATTAATAAACCTCTGGTTGATCATAATGATAGGGGTCCTCTCGTTGGAATCCGGATCAAAGACTTTGGCCGGAGACCTATGGAATTCCCCCCCCCAGAAACAAAAAACAAAATACACTAAATCTGGGGGTTACCATTCAAAGGGCCCTTCAAAAAGCCAAAAAATAACGTGTCAGGGAAAACAAATAAACCAAAAAACAAGGCAGCGGCGACCCACTGACTTGATCACCCAAAGGGTCTCAAAAACTCCACTCGCTCGCTCGCCTGCACGTCGAAGCTGCGCTGCCGGCCAAGGTCCGCCAGCTCCCGGGGCTCCGTGGCAGTGGCCTCTTCCAGGGCGACGGGGGTGGGGTGTTGGTGGCGTCAGCGGTGTTTTTCGTTGGCACTAGGTCCTGCAGTGGAATTTGGTAGAAGTTGGTACCAACTTTTTGCTGTATTTTAGTAGGGGAACCCTCCCCCCAAAAAAGGCTAAAAGGGCACTACTGGGTAACCTTGTTGGTTTGGGCCCCAACATCTGGGCGTTTCTTTGGTCTTCCCTTTGAAACAATCCCCCTAAAAATCTATCAGAAAACAAGGTCCGTCAAGAAAAGGCGCACCCATGTGTGTTGGTGTGTGTGTGCGTTTTGTGCTTGGTGATTGCAATTTCTGGAAAGAAGAATCCGTCCAATAGAGTCTTGCTCTTTGCCTGGGCTTCATTGATTCAAGAAGAATAGTTACACGGAAATAGCATACACCCCACGTATTCATTTCCTTTGACTCACAAATAAATCCAAGCTATAGCAAAAGAGCATCGAGTTGTGTTGGTGGGTTCCTTAAAGCCATTCAGCACAAACACGTGATTGATGATGCCTTTTTTGTTCGGCTTCCCTACGGTTTCCTTTCAACACAAATAAGACTTTCACCAACTCTTGATTTCTTTGACGGATTTCCTCACGTAAAGTTGCTGAAGCATGGGGCAGAGGGGGAAATGAGGTACGAAAACAATGGGCCTGCCATGATTTTGGCACTGAGAACAGCAGCCCATTTTCTGAGGGGTAGTTCAAGCAGGCAGCGCCCACTGAACATGGACCGGGCTCCTTGACCCCAGCAAGAAAGATTTGTAACATTGAGACCCCAATACGCTCGAAACAAACAAAAAGTTTTGAAGGTCAGAATCAAAGAAAGGAGCATCCAGGTAGGGGGGTAAGAATTAGGTTGGGGAGCCCTGGGCAACGGTTGAGGAGCGCTGCAAAACCCCAAATCGCCGGACTGCCCCGGAGCCCGCCCTCGCTCGTGGCACCCATCATTTTGCGACAAGTCGTTCCGCTGACGAGCCGGTCGTCTTGCCAACCTGGATCCAGGTCGTGGCACATGTGGCCAGCCACATGGTTTGCCCCCACCCAAATGGTTTGCCCCCGTCAAATGGTTTGCCCAATGTTTTGCCCCCGCCAAATGGTTTGCCCCTAATGGTTTGCCCAAAATGGCTTGCCCCGACCCAAATGGTTTGCCCCTAATGGTTTGCCCAATGGTTTGCCCCCGTCAAATGGTTTGCCCAATGTTTTGCCCCCGCCAAATGGTTTGCCCCTAATGGTTTGCCCAAAATGGCTTGCCCCCACCCAAATGGTTTGCCCCTAATGGTTTGCCCCCCGCCAAATGGTTTGCCCACTGTTTTGCCCCCGCCAAATGGTTTGCCCAATGTTTTGCCCCCGCCAAATGGTTTGCCCCTAATGGTTTGCCCAAAATGGCTTGCCCCCACCCAAATGGTTTGCCCCTAATGGTTTGCCCAATGGTTTGCCCCCGCCAAATGGTTTGCCCAATGTTTTGCCCCCGCCAAATGGTTTGCCCCTAATGGTTTGCCCAAAATGGCTTGCCCCCACCCAAATGGTTTGCCCCTAATGGTTTGCCCAATGCTTTGCCCCCGCCAAATGGTTTGCCCAATGTTTTGCCCCCGCCAAACGGTTTGCCCCTAATGGTTTGCCCAAAATGGCTTGCCCCCACCCAAATGGTTTGCCCCTAATGGTTTGCCCCCGCCAATTTGGTTTGCCCCCGGTTTGCCAAATGGTTTGCCCAATGTTTTGCCCCCGCCAAATGGTTTGCCCCTAATGGTTTGCCCAAAATGGCTTGCCCCCACCCAAATGGTTTGCCCCTAATGGTTTGCCCAATGGTTTGCCCCCGCCAAATGGTTTGCCCCCCCCGCCAAATGGTAATGGTTTGCCCAAAATGGCTTGGCCCCAAATGTTTGCCCAATGGTTTGCCCCTAATGGTTTGCCCAATGGTTTGCCCCCGCCAAATGTTTTGTGCCCCCGCCAAATGGTTTGCCCCTAATGGTTTGCCCAAAATGGCTTGCCCCCACCCAAATGGTTTGCCCCTAATGGTTTGCCCAATGGTTTGCCCCCGCCAAATGTTTTGCCCCCGCCAAATGGTTTGCCCCCGCCAAATGGTTTGCCCCTAATGGTTTGCCCAAAATGGCTTGCCCCCAACCAAACGGTTTGCCCAAAATGGCTTGCCCCTATTGGTTTGCCCCTAGTGGTTTGCCAAATGGTTTGCCCCTAATGGTTTGCCCAAAATGGTTGACCCCCAATAGTTTGCCCAAAATGGTTTGCCCCCAATGGTTTGCCCCTAACCAATTGGCTTGCCCCTAATGGTTTGCCCAAAATGGTTTGCCCCCAAACAAATGGTTTGCCCCCAAACAAATGGTTTGCCCCCGATGGTTTGCCGCTAATGGTTTGCCAAATGGTTTGCCCCTAACCGAACGGTTTGCCCCCCATGGTTTGCCATAACCAAATGGTTTGCCCCCGATGGTTTGCGGCTAGCCAAATGGTTCGCCACTACTGATTTGCCAAATGGTTTGCCCCTAACCAAATGGTTTGCCCCAAATGGTTTGCCAAATGGTTTGCAGCTAGCCAAATGATGTGCCCGAAATGCTTTGCCAAATGGTTTGCCCCTACTGAAATGCTTTGCCCCGAATGGTCTGCCCCTAACCAGATGGTTTGCCCCTAATGGTTTGCCCAACATGGTTTGGCCCTAACCAAATAGTTTGCCCCTCATGGTTTGCCAAATGGTTTGCACCCACTCCAACGGTTTGGCCTGAATGGTTTGCCAAATGGTTTGCCCCTAACCAAATGGATTGCCAAATGGTTTGCCCCTAACCAAATGGTTTGCCCCTAGTGGTTCGCCCAAAATGGTTTGACCCTAACCAAATGGTTTGCCCCTAATGGTTTGCCAAATGGTTTGCCCCGAACCAAATGGTTTGCCACTAATGGTTTGCCCAACATGGTTTGCCCCTAACAAACCTCGCCACACATGAATTTGGCCACTCTCTTCGCCTTACAGGTCTTTCGCTCTTGCCGGCCTCCAGGTGGGCGAGGACTCAGCCCGAGGCTTCAAGTCAGCAGGTTTAAGGACACGACAGTCATGCCCATCAAGATGGCGCACGCGTGTGCCACCGATGTGATCCTAAGCGTTTCGGTTCTTCTTCCACGAACAACTTGTCTTGGCCCAGGCCCTAAAGTAAAACCAACGATTTGACGAGAACCTCTTGATAACCCCTATGGGGCCAGAAAACTGAACGCCGTCAAACACTTATTCCTAGCCTCGGGCAAGCCCTGGAAACTTGATGGGTCCAGGGGCGACACATGTACCAGCAGCCAGCAGCGGAAAAATCGCTGACACATGCGCAAAGTTGTTTTTATTATTATCTGAATTCAGGGAGCCCGCCAGAACTTGGTTGACGTTGGACGGGGAGCAACAATTATTTGTTGGCAGTTCAGTGGGGAAATCGGATTTCAACCACTAAACCAGAATCAGCAATGTAAAATGTTTCCCAACAACAAACATGAGCAAGGAGCAACTCGTGCCGTCGTTCCGCGATGCCCATCGCTGAAGGCAATTTCGCAGTCCCTGACCCGCTGAAAGGGGTCTTCCCGACGAGCCACCTAAAGTGGGACACGATACTTGGCTGGAAAACAGGGACCCCAGCAAAAAATATTTTTTTTTACCTGATTAATAAAAAAAAGCCAAGGGAAACCCCAAAAAAGGAAAAAAGCAAAAAGGGGAGCTAATTCTGGGGAAGTATATTGGTAAACAACCAGGAACAGTTGCATCCATTGCTGTTAGAGGTTCCTTGGCACTTTGAACACCCTCCCAGCCAAAGCTTCGAATCCTAAAACGGCTTGACTGCACAAGACCCTGCAATCATGGCTCATTTGAAGTGCACCCTTTCTCCAATCATGGAAATATCTGCCACCCGCACTGTCCACTGCCATGATTCTTGACACTTCTCTTCTGATGAATTGAAAAAACTCTGGCGGCCTTGACCTAAATGAAGAAGAGAGCCAGCAACGAAAACTTGGCGTTTACCAACTCAATACTGTGGATGGACGAAATCCTGCAACACTCTGAAGCCATGAAAAACCATTGCTTGTTGGTAGTCGCAGGGGAATCATCCTTCCACGGCTTCTTAGGTGGTGCAGGATTTCGTCCATCCACAGTAGGTGCGGTATGTTCCACCCGCTTCCCGCTAGCAAGTTCCACGGTTCGTCTCGTCCACAACCGCGTAGTACACCAGCGCGGCAGCGCCACTCACGGCACCTGCCACAAAGAATGAACCAAAGGAGCAAAATCGGAATTGGAACGTCTCCAGAACCTTCTCTAGACATCCTTCTCTCTTCAGCAACCTGCCCTTGCCCGAAAGATGGGTGAAGAGATTGGGGCATCAATCCGTAGAAATTATGCTGTTTTCGGTGAGTGCTTCTTTACTTTGCACGACACAAATATAAACAAACATGCAGCATACATACAACAGCATGTGCTTGGTCGCTTCATGCTTAGTCAGAACTAAGCTGCCAAGAGCATCAAGCTCTCGTTGCGGGGCCTTGCCTGCAATCTCAGGGGGCGATGCACATTGGAGCGATGCATTTTCTCAACAGCGCGGCTTCGCTCTGCGCATCGCGTCTGGCAGAAAAAGAGGGTTGCGGGAGCTCGGCAACTCTGCAAACTATGAACTCAGTTGCCCACAGGACCCAGAAATAAAAGGTTAACCTTTTGGGGCCTCCACTAAAAATGGACCAAAACTGGAAAACCAAAAGGTCGAAAGGTCGGTTTTGAACAACCGAGTGAAACCAGGCTTCGCGAACGAAGCCGGCCGTGGAAAAAACGGGGAGTCCTACGGCTCCCAACACCCATGAAGGGTGATGTCATTGAATTCTCCATGCGGGTGAGACGCACCTTGGCTGCTGATCCCTCTGCAAAAGTTGAACTTTGTGTGGCTTTAGTGGGGAAAACGTTGCTTGATTTCCCAAAAAGTCAAAGCCGAAAGATCCAACCCAATAGCAGTCAAGTAACAATCAGACAACTCTGCAGCCGATTTCTTCGGGTCGTCCGTCACGTGCAAGCAGCACGCCACCAAATCACCAGGCTGGGCACAAGAAGAACGCTGGCCCAAAGAGCCCTTCCCAGGATCGGAGTCTCTGAGTACATGTCCACGCAAACGGTCAAGCTGATCTGAGTGGCAACTGCCACGGCCACAGCGAAAGTCGCTGCCTTGGCCGGACTTGAATCGATCGCAGAATCAACATTCAACGTGGCTGCGTCTTTTCTCTGGGGATCGATCCCGCTTATTATTGTAGCTCACTCTGCTTTTGTTTTGGGCTGGGGAGAAATCAATTCCCGTTGCTCTTTCCTGCGAAAAGGACGGCTCCCCCCTCAAAAAAGACACGACGATGAGCGAGTTGGAAGACTGGCTGTTGCGAAAGCGCAGGCGGCTTGGCGCGATTGACCCCAGCTGAAAGGGGAAACGACCTTCGAGTGGTTCAACAAGTGACTCTGCTTCGTGCACCGGTTCAAGCCACGAAGAGTGGGGATTGTTTTTGCGTTTTCTTCCTTTTGTTTTAATCTAGCTTTAAGATGCCGCCAAAAGAGCCGCCTCTGTCTTTTTATGGAAGGCTGGAACGTTCCAATGCCACCACTTGTTGCTGGTTCAAAAGGAAGTCCGCCGACCGCCCCGTAGAAGGGTGAGGGCGCATGGTATCAACCGTCAGCATCCGTCAGCCATCACATTCCACCATGCCGGACTCCGCATTTCGCCCTCCATGTTTGCGCGCAAAGCTCCCGCTTTGACATACTCATCAACTGATGCTTGGCGTTTTGTTCATCATTTAACGGCGGGGGCAGTTCATTGGGTCAGGCGATGCGGACATTCACAAACTGAAAATACAGGTCACGCGTGACAACACAAACCCCTGGGGGGCGTTTTTAATAACTACAATGTCCCAAAGTGGTTACAATTCTAAGTTCAGCATAGTGCAGCAATGTTGCGAGCAGCTTTCGCAGCACCGGATGACAGCCGGACGTCCATCGAACGCAAAGATAAATCGAGGCAACCCCAAAGGGGGAGACCACAAAAAGACCGAACATGCCGGTGAGGAAGTACTCGAGTCCACCAACAAGTTCACCTTTGTTCCACGCAGCAGCGGCATAATCCATTTGGAGCCAAAGGGTTGGAAGATGTGCGGCTATCAACCAGCCGAAGGGATAACACATCCCGCCCAAATGGTGCGCCAACGCACCTCTCACGTGGTGCTTCACTGAGCTTTCGAACTCCTCAGTGGAGCCAAACCAATTTTGGATGCAGTGCAGGATGATTTGGCGGTCGCATAGCATGTGTGAACCATCCAGTTCGTTGTGACCCTTGGAGCAGCAGTAGCACTTGCTGTCCGCAGCAGAGAAACTCTGCAACTGGCCGTGCATGGTCTCGACGTTTTCGCCATGATGCATCAGCATCGTTCCACTCATCCACCCGTAGATGCACACACCCAACATGGCACTCACGAATGCCAGAAAGCTGGTATATGGAAAAGTGATGGAGCCAACACATAAAGCGACGTTCAATCCAAAGGACGCCATGCACCTTGGTTGCTGTTGACCCCCCTGCAACACGTGTGTCACTTTTTGGGGGTTTCGTGGAAAACCCAACCATTTTTTCTACCAAAAAGTTAGTCTAAAGATCCAAGCCAACAGCAGTCAAAGCACAAGGTTGCGAGCGACAGGGGCTGGACCCGCACCTTTACTGTCGCTTCATCCGCGTGAGCCTTGAGAAATGCGGCCAATTCGAAGATACACCACAGCCTCTCGCAGTAGCTGCGGTCCCAAATCACCAACAGCTCCTCCAGTCCGGGGTAGCTCGGAAACGGGATTCGCATGGATTCACCGACCAAAAAGCAACCCTAGGGTTCAACCCCAACTAAAAGAAAGGTTGACCCAATTTGGAGGATGACAATCCTTAGGCAAACAGTGGTGGCTATATGACCCTCCATTGCTTTAATGGTGGTTTGAATCCCAGGGGTTACACTACAAACAGCAAAGGCCTGGCCTTTGGAAGCTTCAATGGGTTCCTCACCTACTCCATCCATCCATCCATCCATCCATCCATCCATCCATCCATCCATCCAGCCAGCCAGCCAGCCATCCATCCATCCATCCATCCATCCATCCATCCATCTAGACCTCCATAACGTGCCTTCATGGATACCCATCCATCAGACCCTGTCCTCAGAAGCTTTCAGGACGCCTCCGATGCACAAGACACCCTCTCCCTTCGCCTTGGAGCTCAGCTGATTGATGCACAGCCGATCCAGGAACACCGGCTCCTGCGGATGGGCTCCCCGTGTTCGGATCCGCGAAATGTGACGAACCTTTTAGTGGGTCAAATGGAAAAACCCCACTAGACACTGAAAGGATCTAAAAAGCTAAGGAACCGGATGGCTGGGAGCCAAGAAACGTGGCGGGGAAAAAACCTAAGGGTAGGTTTCAAAAAACCGCGTGGTTTCCTTTTCTAGGTCCAGTGGAGAGGTTCGAATAAGTTGGTACCAACTAACTTTTTTTTTTCCGTGGTCTATTTTAGTAGAGGAACCCTCCCAACCCAAAAAGTCAGGTGAGAAGGGCACCCAGCTGGGGGACCGAGTTGGAGGCAATGGCTTGGCTGTTTTTTCTTGCCCAACCCCTCCTGGGGCCGGCGGAAAGCCAGCACCGCCAGGAAAACCAGGACCCCTGCAAACAAGCTCCAAGGAGCCTCAGTGGCAAAATCTGCGAAGCCCAAAGTGACTAACTTTTAGTGGCAGTTCGTGGTTTAATGGAAAACGTTAAATTGGAAAAGTTTAGTGGTTTAATGCATAACTTGTTAGTGGTTTTATGGGGGAAACCCTGTAATTGGCAACAAGTTGTCGAGTCGTAACATCCCTTGGGAAAATGCAGCAACGGGGCCAGAATCAGAGGCTCTGGGTCAAATCGTACGTCCTGCGCGAAGCCGGGCAACTTGCCGAAGCTGAAAAGCACCATCATCAGACACGCAGCTGTCTGACCAGCGACAGCAGCTGCCTTCAAGTTGTAGACCAAGAGCAAACTCAATACTTTAAACCACACTGCCGCGTGCCAGCTGTGGGACACAAACTTGCGAATCCGGCACGCGGGTGAACTGTAGCCAAAATGAGAGTCACTGACACGGCCGAGTCTCAGCACTCGTCCAAAGCTTTCCAGGATACGATATGCTGGTACAGATCGGCAGAGGCTGGGGTCTATCAACTTCATCTCTGAAATGTAATCTACTATTGCATCGCGAGCTATCTGGTTCGTGTCACTGGATGACGTGTCACTTCTCGTGCTTGTGGCTTTGCCAACAATCACTTCGCTTAGATCAGCAAGGGTATTGGACCCGCTGCCATCCATGCGTTCCTTGCATACCTCGGCCTGTGCCATTGCTGCCATTGAGTCTTCCATGGCACAACCCGCAAACCAAGAACGAGTCGCGATGCTTGAGCTCTGAGCCTTGTGGTTGCACTGCGAACAGTAAAGATAAGCCAAGTCACAATTTACAGCGTCCCTAGATTAGATTCCAAAGAGCATTTGTCCATTCTTTCTCAGCCAAGGCGTCTGCAAAAAAAAGTGTTCGGTGTTCGGCACAGTTTCGCAGCCCCAACAACAACCGGCAAATGTAAGCTGAATGTGCCGATGTAGCCAGGCCAGTTGCTCAACCTTTCTGGAAAAGCAGAGGCAAGTTCCTAGTTGTACATCCCATGCGAGAAACACATACAAAAAATCCCCTTGAGCAAATACACATCGAGCACTTTCTGACCCTGTTCGCCCATTTTAACAAGCTTCCGGAAGACTGTGGTGACCCATGGTTTCAAAACCCGTGTCTTTGACGCCTTCAAAACATTTCGCGTGTTTGCCCTGCGGGCAATGTAAGAGGCTAAATAATCTCTAATAGTCTCTGCTTGCAGCTTGTGGTTGACAAAGTACCCTGCAGCCCCAGTGCCATTTGAATTGCGCGCCTAAAACGAGCCAGCGATGCGCCGCATGATCAAAAGTCCTCACATCGCCGAAGACCCACGTTGTGCCAATGCCTGAGTCCAAGCAAGCCATTCTGGAGGTGGACTTTGACCACGCCAAAAAAGGCACACCCAAAAACACAACGCCCTGCAGGTCATGCTTAAAAGTTAAAGGGGCCTAATGGCGGATGCCACGGACTTTCTACCTTGCTTTTGTTGGACTGCTGGAACATTCTACACATCTCTCCCTTTTTGGCGCCCTTTGGTGTGTTTTCCTCTTAGCTTCCAAAGGAACCCAACCTGAAAAGGACACCCAAACAACCCAAACCCAGCTGAGCCGCTGTAGCCCAGCATGGCGCACCAAACGATGGATACACCGCTGCAGGTCACCGCGAAACACAGCAGCACCTGCAACGCACAGCTTGTCAAACATATGGTCTCTTTCTGGACCCGTTTCGGGGCACCCGTTTCGGGAGTTGCCTTTTTCAAGGGCCAAGAAATGTTGAAAATGCCCCACCTTTGTGCTGATGTGTGACGGAAGCCACATGGAAAGCAACCAAGCCATTTTGGGGCTGCCCTCATTTGGAAAGAAACAAATGTCTCAAACTTGCAGGCACCTGCAAACACAAGCAGTTTCCTGGGTAGAAATACAAAGCTTCCCTTCCCAATCTAATAAGAAGTGACAGTTTCCATCTTCCGGAGGAAACAATGCGCTGAGCTTGCTTCACGTTGCATCATGGTTAAAAGCGGTTGAAGGTTATAAGACATGAGACGTTGATGGCCCTTTTTTGGTGACACTAGCGTAGTCCCCTTAGCCGTATCAAGCTACACCTCCTCGCCCCCTCGCATCGATCTGTGCCTTTGCTGCAAAAACAACGGTCCCAACTAAGGGGAAGCCCCAAAGAAAGCAACCGTAAAACCCGTGAGGTTGCAATGGTTTGCCAACAGTTCCTGGGGTGCGCAAGTGGGCCCTATTGATCGAGAGCCAGGCAAATAGTAGCTAGAAAAGCCACCATCTCATGGTTCCCGTGTCTTTTGTTTTTCTCATCAATACGAACACAGTTTCTTCTTGCGAAAAAATGCGCAAAAAGAACAAGTCCCGCACAAACGGGACTTGACCCAGGATTCATAAACCCGTCCCATTATTAGGGGGGGGTTCCCTCCAACAGCGGTCCGAGTCCCACTAAAAGGGACCCCCCCATCAAAATCAACCAAGGGTGCATGAATCCGGGGTGAACATTACGTCCTCGACCCGACGCCTGGAAGGCCCAGAAGAAGGCGAGAGCCCAAAGAACCCTGGCGCGGCGCTTGGGGCTGGTGAGCAAGTAGGCCGGCAGCTGCACGAGGATCAGGGAGTAGTTCAAGACCACGGCCGGCAAGCAACCTGGGATGCTTTGCGCTAGCAACCGGCTAATCAGTTGGGAGAAGTTTGAGTCAGAGCGTGTGTGTTAGGACCCGAAACATGTGCGAAGGGCAAAGCCAGCTGGAAACTGGCCAAACGGCCTCCTGCGTCCCTGGTGGTTTTGGAGGAGAACCATGCTAGGAATGCCCCCCCCTCCCCCCCAAAAAAAAAACACTCATGCCTGGATCGGGCGGGCGGTTTTGACACGACACCCACGGATGCGTAAGTGCTCCTTCCCTAGGCTCCTTGTTTGAGACCACCCCCAGATTCACCAAGGGAACCGCCAAAACCGCATCCATCTTTGGACGGATCTTTTGGAAATGGACTGCGGTTTGCCCCCGGAAGGGCTCAACTAAGCTTTCATTGGCTTCAAGAGGCGCTGAATATTTCTTGTGTCCATGATCTGCCAATAATATATTATAGCAATTGCACGTATGTACATGTTCAAGTCTTCATGCATGAATGCATACATGTAAGAGTGTACGCATCTGCAGCACCTTCCCTTTAAAACCAACAGGAACAAATACAACATCACCTAGAGCAATGTGACTGAACGTTTGGGTTCTGGGTCTTCAGAGCTGCCCCTTGAACAGCAACCAAAAGGGTATTGAATAATTTTGTTGGCAACACCCCCACTGTTTGATGTTGATTCGTTCGATGCATGTCAGCTGCGTCCCACAGACCTGGCTGAGATGCCTTAAGCCAAACGGGGTGACGGGTGACTCATGACTCTGACTCGTGCACCGAAAAAATAAACCTGAACGAGATCTTGGGTGAACTGGGTATCTCCAAATGGGGGGAGGGCCGCAGATGGATGTTCCTTTTGGTTTCCCTCTACACCACTCAAACAAAGGCACCCTCCAAACACGAGACGCACCCAACTCGTTTACCCTCGCGATACGCGAGGCAGGTGCTGAGATTCACAGCGGATACACCCTCTCCCCGACTCACCAAACGCCACAAACCACGATTCAGTTTTGGAGACCTTGGATCCTAGATGTTAAGACGGTGGGCCCAAACCTTAGGCTCTCCACTTTATTGGGCACTTCCCCTCTGCCCCTCTCATAGCATCTGGACACCCGAAAGGTGAAGTTGATCATAGTGATGGGTGAAGAGCAGAGGTAAGCATGTGAAGAGCGGGGTTCGGCACGATGGGCAATGCCCCATGCATGTACACCACTAAGTCACGCTTACTTGTCACTAGTCATTGACGGAACCCGCTGCATCAGTCCCGAGCATTTCACGCACCAAATGGAGAATACTCCATCGTTGCCACAAGTCACGTTCCCTTCTCCGACGGCACTCAAACTTGTTTCGTTTGCACTCAGCAGCAGAGGATGCGCTACATCACCAACTTTGTCCCGCATCTTGTGGCGTCGAAGCAGCGCTCGCTCGCTAGTTACGAAGCTCAGCGCTACAGGTGCTGCGGCAAACATTATTCACTGGATCCCAAAAAGCCCCCATATACACAAGGAACATCACTTCAATGAGCCTAGCCCTGGCCCAAGTCGGAATGGAATGCATGCTCTCCCCAGTTGCTCAGCGACCTGCTGGAGCCAGAGAATCCTGTTTGGGTTTTGGCATCTTTGGAGGCAACGGGAAACCGCCAAATGTCACAAGTAAAAAGTCTGAATCTGAAGTAAGGGATCCTAAGATAAAGGGATCATGGCAAGCCCGTGTTTACCCGCTAAAACCTGGGCAAACAAAGAACGCTGTTTATTCAGTGGAATCCACTGAACCAGTGAATCTCTCGAGTACGACTTGTGCTTTACGCCTTTGTGGTAACATGAGCTTCGGCCTAATCCAAATGAAAGGGCTACTCTGCATCCTGTTGAAATCTATCGCTGCCTTACTCAATTATACAAACTTGCTGCTCATATTTAAAAAAAGTCCTGAATGCAAACCAGACTTTGCATCCAGTGGGGTTTCTCCATTACAAGCGCAAGGCTGCCCTCACAGGCTTGACCCGAGCGCCGTTGCCAGCCACGCAGCCGTTGTATGTCAGGATGCAAGGCAAGGACCGCGAGTCACAGTCCATGTCATCGCAGGACATCTTGGAAAGTCACACCATGGCGGACAACTCCGGGATCCCGGCTGCATCTTTTCTGAGCCGTCTGTTGGGCAGGAGTGTTCTGGCCACTTTGGGAAGGGAAGCAAAAGCAAGAACGAGATTCTCTGAGCCAATCATATTGTCCGGCCACCCAGTGATCTTTTCAGAACCTCTTCCGTCGACCCCCCCCCCGTCACAAACCGGTCTAAAACCAGGTCCAACTCCGGCCAAATCTCCCCCGCAAAACCCCCCACCAGAAATAAGTCAAATTCCCTAGACATTTGCACCATCGCTTTGCCCAAGCCATTCTGTAACTCTCTGCGGCTCTCGTTCTGGCCCTTGAAGCCATGTGGAAACACGCGGACATGCACCCACCCTCTCCCAGGCAAACTAAAGCACGCTCTATACCTCAAAAGCGGACTGGCCAAGGCGGGGAACGCGAAGCGTTTACAAATAGCCAATGTTGCCCCCTTTGCTCCAGTCAATGACGGCAAATGCTGGCCGTTGACATCTCTTGCCCAATCAACGAGCCTTTCGGGAGTGCATGAGGAAGCATCGACTACCTTGTGCGACATTAGAAAGGGGGCTTCTTGGCAACTTGGCATATCCATGACTGCAACATTGGCGCATGCCATCCACACAATGGATGACGCACATTTCGGCCCACTGTCACTCAACTTGGTGCTTCCCAGAACAGGCTCTTGCTTCTCCCTGGGGTCTAGAAGGAATCAGCCAGTTTGGGGGAGTCTGTTTTGGCAACACGCCAAGAGGCCTCGTCAAAGCTCGGCATCCGTGCTTAAAGCGGGCTTCCATGGCTGCAAGGGAATCGCCTGCTATGTTCACGCCTTCTGAATAACCCTTTGGCTTTGACCCCCGAAGATATGGACGCATGCATCCAGCCTGTGAAATACAATCGGGTGAACGCGTGATGTCTGCCATGTTTTTATCTTTTTCTTATGACTGATGTGGGGGGGGGCAGTGAGACATCGCTGCATGTTTTCCCTTATAACTGATGTGGTTGAGCCTTTTTCTTTTTTTTCCGTTTTTGTTTGTGCGCCTGTATCAAGGACCCGATCTTGCCGTTCTGGGTGATCAAGAGGAAGAGCTCGGAGCCTGCGGCTTTTGCGACCGGTGGAGCTCCATGGGAAACAGAGGCGTGTTGGTCGGTGGAAACATACGAGCAGGATGGACGCGAAATCCATTTCGCAGCACCTGAGAAACCCTGGAATGATTTTCTCTGCAACTGCCAACCATGATTTCCCATGATTTCTTGGTACAGGATTTCGTCCACAGTAGGCGCCCTGTTGTTGGTAGTTGGCTCCGAAGGCACACCCCTCCGAAGAAAAAACCACGAAAAGGACAACGGAGCACTAGAGGTCCAGCAAAAGAAAGCTGCCTTTCAGACTTCAGACGACCCCCAGCGCAGCCCCACATTCAAAGAACCAAACAAGAGCAGACCAAGGGTGCCCTCCGTCAACCTTTTTCGTTTGGCTGAAAACTAGACAAGCTTCGTGGAATGGTAGAATAAAGTAAGGTAAAGTTCAATTCCCATGCATATTTGGGCGTCATTGTTAAACCGCCAGTGCCCATTTTGCCAAACAGATTTGGAACCAAGTCTGCTGGCTGTCCGAGTCATCCGCTCGATTTTGCCGGTGACCAATCATAGGTTTCCAACCTATCCCCTCCCTTAACATCTCCCCCCCCCCAAAAAAAAAAGAAGCCCTCAAGAACTCGGGGTCCCTGCATAAATCCCTTCCACGGGGGTTTTCTGCCAGAGCAAAAAGAGGTTCCAGTCACCCTCCCAATGCCCGCAGGGTCAGCGAGGGACAGCAAAGCGAGATCAGCTACCGGGAAACGCAACTTGCGAATCAGGGGGCACCCCATTTCACCGTGGGCTCGTCGAGTGGCGAAACAAATATGATACTGATATCAAGGGATGTGTCCCCCACCAGGCGTTCACAATCTTCCTCATGTTTGTCATTCAGTTCTAAGGGCAAGCAAGCAGGGACTGCAGCATTCCGAACTCAATCGTCTGCAAGAAACTGCCAGAGCTAGGCATCTCAGGCGGGAGTAGTTTCGTGATCAAATGCCCATTCTAAGCTTTTCCAGTAGCTCCTGAACCAGCCAACTTTCACAAAGCTTCTCCAAAATGGGCTTCGGCTTCCAAACAAACACCCCAAACCCTTCGAAACCGGCACGGATCGGCACGTACCGCTGAGTACCGCGTCCTTTCGGTACATAGGTTGTCTACCCTTTATCCATGTCTAGGTCCTCCAGTAGAGAGGTTAGACTAAGGGTACCAACTTTTAGGGGAACCCTCCCCCAAAAAAGATTTGGGGAAAGGGCACGACTGGGGGACCTCAATGTCGCAGTCATATTTTTCCATGTGCAGAATTACCAAAAAGGCGTGCGCGCGCATCTCGGGCCCGCGCCAAAGTCGGTCAGCACCTGAGCACGCGAATCGCTCCAATGGCAACCGCGGGTTAGAAAGGGCAACGCGATGCAGTTTCCGGATGGCACAAAGAGAAAGTCAAACGGCACGAAAGGGAGTTGGGGAATGTGGGAGAGACACTCGCAGTAAATCGCTGTAATTACATGGCTTGGTGTTGGCACCCCCGTACCGAGGCTCCCTGGGCGCCATCTCAGTTGAGCGCTTGGTGGCCAGTGTTGGTATGTAAGGCAAAAGTCCCCAAAACAAGCACTGCCCCTCAAAGCACTTTAAGAGACAAATCCATCCGGGCGAGCTGCTAGAATCCAAGGAACCAGGAATGAGCGAGCCAGGAACCTTGGGGGTTTGAGTCGGTCTCACGTGTATTTCTTTCATGTAACTGCGGCCCAGCTGCAAAGTCAGTTTGCACTCCGCAGATCTCCGCGGCCCACTGATTGGACTGGGGCGGCATGGCGGCGCTTTCTGCCGTCCGGGCAAGACGAAATCGCGCGCAAATCGCGCGCGGGGGTCAAAACTTGGCGGTGAATTGCTCCACTTTGTTGGCCGTGAAACTGGCAGATCCAGAAAGGTGGCCTGAGGCGGCAGTGGCGTAAGGTGGACAGTCATGAGCCGCAAAAGTCGGTCAGTGCACACATGAGGTGACCGTACGCAAATCCCAACATGTCGAAACCTCTGTGACTCTGCCGCGTTGCCGCGTTGCGCCGAGGTATGAGCCACTCATGCGGCGGTGAGTCGCGAGTGGCACCGAAGCGGCCATCGGAAGCTGGCAAGCCTGGGATCATGATTTCGACCGGTTTCGGGTATCAAACTCAGAAGCTGGGGTTGTTTCCTTCAACCCATGACTTTTTTTTCGGGTGACTTTGCAGATGGAAGCGAATGAGACCAGCAAACCCTCTGGCCCAGGCTCCTGGGTGCTGACTTGGTTGACACCCCCGGCCGGGGCCGAGCACCCGGGCACCCGATCGGCCGATCGGACCCGTAGGGCTTTTAGAACGTGGGGAATCGACGTGCATTTTGCATTTAGAAACAACGCTCTTGATGAGAGGAACACCCTGAGGCCTGAACGTCTACTGTCACCATCCTGCACCTCCTCCAGTTGAGAGGTTAGAATCATTTTTTTGCTGTAGTCAAATTTAGTAGGGGAACCCTCCCCAAAAAAGGGTAAAAGGAGGGACCTAGCACACCCTTGGCCAGCCAGGACACATGGCCAGAACCGACCGCTCAGAATGGTCACCTTCTGGCGAGCCGCCAGGCAGCTTTCGAAGGATTGTTGCAACCCGAGGTTCCAGTCAAAACCGGTTTTTTGTCTCTGCAAAACAGCTAGATCAAGCACCAGACTTAGACCCGCAAAAGTTGCAACTTTTCTCTGGAGGCAAAATAAACGAAACCCAAAAGGGCAAAGGTTGGGTCCACGTAGGTAGCCTTTCCTTGCAACCCAAGCCGAGGGTATCCCAATGCTCAAGTGTGACAAGAGCCAGGCGGGCTGCTGTTGCGGAGATGCCGAGGCACCTAAGCCCCCGGGGGTGCGGTGTGACATCCGTAAAATGACATCTCTCCAAATGGCGGTTTCAAGTTAAATCACCGAATCCCAAGAACTGATCATGAAAAAATGTAGGGGAACGAGCCTTTTTCGAGACAAGCTCGGCATACCCTCCCACCTTGCCATGGAACTGACTGGCAGGTCACAGCAGGTCCCGCCCCTAAAAAAGGAAGCCATCACTTCAGGTGGCCCCATTTTTTCACCTGCATGTTGTCCGAAAACCGACAATGCTGACCTTCATTTGGTGCTCAGTGGCTGCGTTTAGAGGGGGAAGCTGCTGACATTCAACAAAAGGATCACCGCCAGCACGGTCAGGTTACGTATGGGGATTGCGGTAAGCATGACACCCTCCTTGAGAGGAAACAACAGACAAGCTTACCTGCTCGCCCTGGCAACGTGCATCCTCCCTAAACTAAGAGGTTCAAGCAGCAAGCATCGCAGGACCCCACAGTTCTGCCTAAGCATATAGCAGCTGGGCACCCAAATCCAAGGTTCTCAACGTGGTGCCCAAAATGGCTGGCTTACTGTTCATTTCTTTTTAGGTATGAATCGCACAAGCTGGCCTTCTCATTCTAATAAGTGGTTGGATTCCAACCACTAAACCACAATCAAGCAAGAATGGAAACGTGTTTCCCAACAACTACCATGCCCCCTCCCCCCCCCCCCCCCCCGGCCTTTGGCACTTCCCCGACGCCCCCCACTTCGCCTACTTCCGGCCGGGGAACAAACGAAACCCTCTCCAGGGATCCTTACAATGGATCCACCTTTGGTGTTGAAAAAGCCAGCCATGTTTCAATTGGTTGCAAAATGGAGATCTTTTCAGGAGCCCTGCTCTCGACCGCTATGCGTCTGCGTCGGAACCCGCGGGGCCGCGGCCCAGGTACTCGTGGATCACCTGCTGAGGCGTGAGGCCGCCGCCCTGGCGATCGAGGGAGCCCGGGCTCCCCTTCTGCGGACAAGGAAATGACCATAGGTGTCCTTTTAGGAGCAACAGATGGGTTTCCCTGGTAGATG